AAGTAGCGTAATTGAATACAATTTAGTTACACGATCATTCGTTAGATGTTTAGATGTGACTGTGTTGTAATAAGTGTGTGAAATTTATATTTAATGCATTTGTTCTCATAAATCATTAAATATTATCGACGAGCAGCAGTGAGACGTTTACGATAGTAATCACTTTTTTTCGGGCTATCTTAAAATCTGTACGAAAACTGACAAGAAATAACTAAGCATATCAACACATATATCAACTTGTTTGGGTCCTCTAAACACAAATCTACAAAGCCCTTTTTAGTTTTTACTACATTAAGCATATAATAAATATTTTCGTTTAATCTCCAGAGAATACATAACAAGCACTCCCAAGCAAAAGTTGGTATGGATACCAAACTCGGGTGAAATATTTTGATTGCTCCTACAAAATAATGATAATGCAGTTTGTAAGATGATAGTGTAAAGCCTTTCGGTATAGCTGTGTCGCGCGAAGGCGATATGGAGTTGCAGAAACCAGTTTGATGTAGATAAACTTTTCTACTAATATGTCCTAAGATTGTTATGTGAAGGTTAGTTACAAAAATATACGTTGAATTTATGTTAAATATTGAGCTTCAACAAATTCACACTTGTCATTTGATCACTACTTACAATTGACAGCTATAAATGAATTGAAGAAATATATGTTTTTTTCTGACCGTACTTTTAATTATGCTGTGCCTGTACAAAACATCGTAGCAAATGTTTTTCTACGTATTTCCACTACAAAGTAAAAGAACTTATTGGTATATGCATACATCGAGTTTAAAATAATGATTTTAAAATTTATCCATACATAGAAAAGTTTCATTTATTTCGATACTATAATTGAAATTTAATATAAAACTTTATTCATGTTAAAAAACTCTTAGTCAATTTAATAAATAAAAAAGTACATTTGTGTTTTACCTTTTGGTTTATATCCGTTCCTTATTCACCATAATGCTGGATGCATGCAAATAACCAGTGGCTATGGAACTGGCAGCTGTTGTGTGTGAACTCCGAGGGAAGTAGGATGAATCAGATGTTAAAAGGCGAGAAAGCCTTTTGTCTGGGCAATACTTTCGTATTTTTTCTTTTTAATAGTTACTAGATGATGATTTTTATAACGCCATTGTGTAACGTTATGTCTTTAAAGCGGTTAGTTGCCCTCGATTAAGAAAATTAGTATTATTATTCGCCAATAGATGTCGGGAAGAGTTGATTATTGAAAACACGAATAAAACAACATTTTCTGAAAATAAATCGTAGCTAGATCGATTTATCGCCCCCGAAATCCCCTGTCACGGTATATATACATATATAATAATAATTAAATGAATAGTATGTACCTAAATACGAATTAAGGTTGTTAATAAAGACTTCTTTATCTTTATTTTTATCTATATTACTGTTACGCCGGTAAGCACAACGCCATCTATCGTCGAATAGCAGAAACGCTTTATTTATTTATTTTTAGTATTACTTAGATCCGTGGATGAGCTCACAGCCCACCTGGTTAAGTGGTTACCGCAGCCCATAGACATCTACAACGTAAATGCGCCACCCACCTTGAGGTATAAGTTCTAAGGTCTCAAGTATTGTTACAACGGCTGCCTCACCCTTCAAACCGAAACGCATTACGCAGAAATAGGCAGGGTGGTGGTACCTATCCGCGCGGACTCACAAGAAGTCCTACCACCAGTAATTACACAAATTATAATGTTGCGGGTTTGATTTTTATAACACGATGTTATTCCTTCGCCGTGGAAGTCAATTGTAAGCATTCCTCAAGTACATATTTTATTAGAAAAATTGGTAGCCGCCTACAGGATTCGAACACCGTTGCATCGCTCGACACGAATACACCGGACGTTTTATCCTTTAGGCCACGACGATTTCTAGATCTCAATAAACTCGATCTCAATAAACATCTACAGTCTTGTTTTATCTCATCTGATTTAAATCTACTTCATTTAATTTCATAATCAAAGACATAAATCTCATTTCATTTGGTGTCATTTGACTGATCATCCAGCAGGCATGGTTCAGCCTTTGTCAGAAAATATATGGCTACATGCGCTAGGTTTTCTTTGGTACGTCCACTTAAAGAATCGACCTAAAATAAATATCTTTAAGTTCTGGGCGAGTGCTGACGTCGTCTACCTGTCCAAAAGACAATGTATCAATAACACAAAACTCAAAGGCTTGCACCGAAAACATGAAACAATATCGCCGATATCGTACATTGACCTCATTCACCTGTGACATACATATTATAAATAGTTTATTTATTGTCTACACGTTCTCGTTTTGAAGGTATGTGTCATGAAAAAGTACCGAAGGAGGTGTTTTATTGCATCGAAACAAATAAAGCTCGCATCTCAGTAAATTATATTTATTTATTTATTGGAGCTCTCTTATTTTTAACATGATCGTGGGAAACATATGTTAAACTAGCGATCCGCCGTTTTTTTTTACATTTACGATATTTCCAGCACGCATTCTGTCAATGTTATGTCAAACGGCATAAGGTTACATTAGAAAGTCATTAGAAAATTTAATATGGTGCTTATTTATTTAAAAATTTTCTAATATAGCGCGCAATTTTCTTAATTTTGTCTTTTATAAGAATCATTTGACTGTTTTAGAATATAAATTGTGTTGTGGTGTGCAAACACAACAAAAAAAAGATGTGTGGTCACAGATTACTAAATAAATACCTAAGTGTGGGACACCGGATAGGAAAGAAGTTTCATTAATTTTAAGTTCTGTTCGAGGTATAAAGAAAATAAAACTGGAGGTTTCGCAACAACCCACGGTCATTTGGTAACGTGCGAACTTATTGTGGTACACTTCCTTCACGGCTGTTTGCATAAGAGTTAGTGTATTGCGCAAACGAACGCTCTGAGATCGTGGTCAATGACTGATAAAAAAATATGTTATTTTTTGTACGTTATTACAAAGTTAAGTCGTACACTGTGTGCATTACTAATAAAAATCTTACGTTACGGACGTTTTTTATACCTCTTTGCATCGTCCCTTAAGGAACTTCGTTCCAAAAAAAGAATTATCCAATTTGTTGCCCGTACATACGTTACACCGATTCATTTTTATATGTAAAGATAATATTATATGGGTTTCGTTACAAAAAATGGTTTCTGTCTGCGTGGAGTTTGGGAACCGGTGTTCATACAGGTATACCAGGCATCTCAACCCTTAAATCACGACGGCAATATTTTAAGCAAGATACAGTATAGGCCACCGTACTACTACTAATATTACTACTTTTCGACGAGTCGACGAGAAATAAAATCAGCCGCAGCAGCATAAGTTCTTCGCTGGATCTTATAGGCGGATCGTGTTTGCAATTCGTTAGAAGACTTTCATCGGAGGCGCTCAGACAGTCTCCACCAAACCTTTCATGTTTGAAGCAAAACGTATATACTAATTGATTAGTTAATCCTTATTTCGTGAACAACACAAAGACACCCTTTCATCCCCCGATTTCCCTTGAGGCCGTTGACCTTACGCTTCACAATATACATATTTCTTGTACAACGGAAATCGAAATCTAATATACATATATTTTAACACTTATATATATCTAAAACTCAGAAACATAGAATAAAAATTTGTACATAAGAGAAATGTTCACACTAAGTGGGGATCGAATCCACAATTCTAGGTGGTACCAAGTAAAATAAGTTGAAATATGACGCCACCTTCATATTTTGCACGGAAGAAGCGGAAACCCTGCATGTCATCTTTGATAATGGTAATCCAGACGAAGTTAGTTCAGGGTTTTATTTCAAGACGTTGTTACATCAATCAGATATGTGGCGTCAGTGATGTTTGGAGCAAAAGGTCTAACCCTTGAAAAACTCAATGTATCGGTCAAATGTTTGTCAAGCACCCAAATAGAAAGATAGGTGAATTGAAATAAATTGGATTTGATTTCGTCCGATTTTTTTATCAGTAACTACTTTTATATAATATATAAAGCGTATGTGAGTTATGTTTGTCTATGATTGTACGTTTTTCAATTGAGTCTATGATATAGGTATCATATATTATACAACATCGCACGTAACACGTAATGCTTCGTCAAATGAATCATTGTAACCGCAATACTGTTCAATTGAATTTGACTCGTAAAGTATTCCTAAAGCAGTCGTTGTCCACATACCGTTAGTGAATTTATCATATCTCAGGTAAAGTACAGATAGAAAGGACTATTGTGTTCATTTCTGTTATTTCTTGAATTCTTGAATTTCGAAGTAAATGTGCCTGGTTAATTTAGTCATTTTACACCTATAGTTGCATCTCTTTTTTTTGTTATTGCTTAGATGGGTGGTCGAGTTCATAACCCATCTGGTATTAAGTGGTTACTGGAGCCCATAGATACAACGTAAATGCGCCACCCATCTTGAGATATAAGTTCTAAGGTCTCAGTATAGTTACAACGGCTACCCCACCCATCAAACCGAAACACATTAATGCTTCACGGCAGAAATAGGCAGGGTGGTGGTACCTACCCGTGCGGTCTCACAAGAGGTCCAGGAACCACCAGTCTTCGACCTGATATGTCAAAGTAGGCGCTGCCATTCACGTTCTAATGTCAGTGGGTTTTGGTAACCGCTTAACACTAAGCGAACTCTATGCGAGTGTGTCCTGAGGGAAAGCTAATGTGCTTCGACTATCATAACATAATCAAAGCCCACGTCGCAGTAAGCATTCCTGACAAAACATCAAAATTAGATTTATTTTCATTACTACGATGTACTTGATAAACAATATGCAGCTGAGTTTTGAGATGAAATTACTGAATATGTTTAAAAAGACATAAACCAGGAAATAACATTTATCGTGATGTAAAGACGGGACCGATCGCTAGTTCAGTGCACCAAAATCAATTGTATCGATCAAAGATATGCGTAGCTATGCGGATTAAAAAAAAAAAGATTAAAAGAATATAATCGCGAAATATTATCATGCAAATTGATTACTAGTGTGATTCTGTATTAGTTAAGACGTAATATTTGTTTGAGTTTATATGTACTAATTCATTGGTGAGTAAAGACTTTTTTATTTTGTTTTAGAAAATTTTAAGTGTATCTTTATTTAAATTGGATTCAGTTGCCTTATCTTCTAAAGTAGTATATTATTATCTATTTATCTTCTAAAGTAGTATATCTATTCTAAAATCACGTGTTACAATACTCTATGTTCAGGCTTGTACATTTTTAGAATTTTCACCAGCGTCACGTACATGCCGTAACGAGAATCGGAATGTTTTCTCTGGCGTGTATTTGGACTACCTACGTTGTATGGAATTGTCCACAATTACTTGACTATTGTCATATTTTAGGATACATCGCGGTTTTTTCTATAAATTTAATTTTTAGTTGTCAATGGATAGTTTTTTCGTTAAGTGGGAACCGCAGCTTTTTTACTGGTGGCAGGACCTCTTGTGAGTCCGCACGGGTAGGCACCACCACCCTGCCAATTTCTGCCGTGAAGCAGTAATGCGTTTCGGCTTGAAGGGTGGGGCAACCGTTGTAACTATACTGAGACTTTAGAACTTATATTTACGTTGTAGATGTCTATGGGCTCCAGTAACCACTTTATACCAGGTGGGCTGTGAGCTCGTCCATCCATATAAGCAATAAAAAAATTCTTATGTTATGTTATTTTATTGTTATTATATCGAACATTTCGATTTCTCTAGATAGCTGCATCAATCTATAAATTATATCATCATCATAGTTAATCCCACGTATATATAGTAGCTACGTAAAGTCATTGAAATAAATAAAAAAACAACTTTAGCTTGAATTAACGATAAGACCTTCATTTATATAGCACCTGACCTCTTCTTATCGTGAATATGAAAAACCTAAGTCAAACAAATTCCCGGACCTGAAAATACTGTTAGTTTTTTCTATGTGCAGACTGCAAAGGGATGTAAAATTCACCTAGCAGTTTTTTTTTAATTGGACGGTTGATAGTAAAATATCCAAATGTCGGCGGACAACGTCTTAGTCGCCGTATATAATATAATTATATATTTATTGAAAAAGTGGTTAAGCATTAAAAAATAGGCAAGTACGAAGAGCAAATAAGTTAAACATATTACCAGTACTGTTTTTTTTTACCGTAAATAAATTTTAGATGATTGATTTTTATAACAGAACATGATCACTTTAATCTGGTTGGGTGTACTTCTGGTGACATTGACGTTGCACCTCAGGAAGGTGTACTCAAGGTTCAAGGATTATGGCGTGAACCACTTCACGCCGATCCCGGTGTTAGGAAACGCTGGTCCAATAACAGTGCGACTTCGGCACGTGGCTGAGGACTTCGATATGGTGTATAAAGCTTTTCCAGAGGACAGGTAAGTCAGGTGGATGTTTTTAGGAAAGTGTTGAGTTTGAAAAATTAGGTGGAGGTTCTATTCTACTGTTAATCAAATGTACTATTCTTCAAATCGGGACCCGAATGATTTGCAACAAGTATAAGCGCGAGTTTAAAGCCTTTAGGTACTTTAAGTACTAATCTCATTCGTTCTCATGCGTTCGGATTGTCGATAATCCTATTCTCACGGATCGTTTGGAATCTCTGGGTCTGCGAAGGGACTTCGCTTCTCTTTGTATTTTGTACCGGAGGTTCCATGGGGAGTGCTCTGAGGAATTGTTTGAGATGATTCTATCATGTTCTTTTTACCATCGCACCGCCCGCCACCGGAGTAGAGTTCATCCAAACTACTTGGAGCCACTGCGTTCATTCACAGTGCGTTTCCAGAGATCTTTTTGCCACGTACCACCCGGCTTTGGAATGAGCAGTACTATTCTCCTCCACGGTATTTCCCGAGCGCTATGCCATGTCCTTCTCCAAACGCGGCTTTTACGGTAGGCAGCGGCTTGGGTCTACCTCTGGCATTGCTGAAGTCTATGGGCAACGCTAACCACTCAATATCACGTGGGCCGTATGCTCGTATGCCCCTAAAAATTAAAAAAAAATCTAAGAATCGGAAAAAAGGAAGATGAAAATCACATCAGCGTATAATTGATTTAAAATAACAAACAAAATACAAAACTAATGAAAAATAATACTGAATTCAACAAAATAAAACATATGCATTATTAAGGGTTACTCCAGCCAGATCTTAATAAAAAAGGACTTGGACCACATGAACTTTCAAATAACAAAATCATCAAAATCGGTTCAACTAGAAAAAAAAACAGAGGTAACATGCATAAAAATTAAGATACAGTCATATTGAAAACCTCCATCTTGTTTTAAGGCGGTTAAAAATAGGCAATCTTCTTCAGACGAGTTTTGAAATAGGTTTTTCCTCATAAACTCTAAAATTTTGTTATTTATGTAATCAAATGTTATCAATTTATCGAACTTTATCGAAATACAATCTTAATACTTCTAAATCACGTTTTTAGGTTCACAGGCAGATTTGACTTGCTGCGGCCCACGGTTATCATCAAAGATTTGGAACTCATAAAGCAGATCACTATAAAAGACTTTGAGCATTTCCTGGACCACAGAGCTTTGGTTGATGACACCGCTGACCCATTCTTTGGCAGAAACCTATTCTCTTTGAGAGGTTTAGATTTTTTTACAAGATATTTAATTGAACAGATTTTTTGTATTTTTTTGTGGTTTTTTGTGAGTCGTAGACATAGTTCGGTTTCAAAATGAAACAAGTTTTTATAACCTGACGCTGATGATTCTATCACAGTAAAAATACAATAACGGATTCGTTCCGAAATTGTTTTAAAAATACACTATCGTATATATCCAACGAAAGTAATTCTATGAAAACAAGATGAAATTTAGCTTGTAATTTCAGATAAAAATCAGTTCAGGACTTTTCTATTAAAAAATGAATCGATACATGAATTAACTGAGGTATCTTTTATTTAAGAGTTTTAACAATCTTGGTTAATATCCTTAGATAACATAGCAATAGTATAGAACATAGCATAAGAATAAGTACTAATTGATTTTTGGACAGGTCAAGAATGGAAAGACATGCGGTCCACGTTGAGTCCTGCTTTCACCAGTTCCAAGATGCGTGGAATGGTCCCTTTTATGGTGGAAGTTAATAACCAGATGATTGATATGATTAAAAAAAAAATTGCGGCTAATCCGGGTGAGGAGTTTTGTTACATGAATTATTAATCCTGTATAGCTACGATAAAAGTTGATTGAAATTTTGGTTATATTCTACGAATTTAAATTTAGTTGTGATCAAGTTACTGAAATTGGTTGTGTGGCCATCTAATTTATTGCTAAATGGTCTTTTCTGGAGATAGGTCGTATTGTAAGTTTGAAGTAAACTGTGATGATGTAGTATACTATTTCTATTCCAGATGGGTACCTCGACTGTGAAGGTAAAGACCTGACAACTCGCTACGCTAATGACGTGATAGCATCCTGTGCATTCGGCGTCAAGGTGGACTCCCATACCAATGAGGAAAATCAGTTCTATCTTATGGGTAGGGACATGGCGGATTTTGGATTCCGAAAGATTATGGTATTTCTCGGTTACTCTTCGTTTCCGAAATTAATGAAGGTTTGTTTGAATAAGTACATAATTGATATAGTTGAAGCATAAGCTATCTATGTAACCATTAACTATAGTAAATGGAGGGGTATCAAGCTTCTAGGCAACTGCGGTTCAGTTTGACATTAAGCTTCTTTTGGAATACGAGATTAGAGCTTAAGAGCGTATTTGTACAATAATTAGTCTGGTCTCGAACCAAAGCTTTTTAGTGTACTAGCTTACATGTTTGATATAACATAGTAGCCCAAGAGCCCGCGACGGCCAGACCCTCGTTATTTTATAAAAACTGAAAGTTTCTCTGTGTATGTCTCCAACACAGGAAATACACGAATTTAAAGTACTATTTTATATACCTTTACTGCCTGTTACCTGCCTAAATAACCACAATTGGAACTCTATAGTCGCGGGTCGTTCTTACCTGTGTTGGAGATATGCACAGAGAAACTTTCAGCTTTTATAAAATAACGAAGGTCTGGCCTCGCGGGCTCTTGCTCTATAGTAAAAAACCACTGTAGGAAAAACAATAAGGTTTGTCAAAATCCTTTTTAGAAATTCAACGCCAAACTTCTGTCTGATGAGACTGGACATTTCTTCACTGATTTAGTTCTCAGAACGATGGAAGACCGTGAGGTTAAAGAAATTGTGAGACCTGATATGATTCATTTACTGATGGAGGCAAAAAAAGGTGAGAGTATCTATTTAAGTACTAACCCAGAATATTGAATACCACGTGGTAAGTCCTAGAATATATTCCAGCTAGAAGTATAGTCGTGACTTGGTCCTTCAATTATCTAATTTTTTTTTGAGTACATTGGTATGCTTCATGATCCTTGTTTTAAAAGGATACCTTAAATGTGAATTCCTCGAGAGATGACTTGGAAATGACAGGAAATATCGATAGAGGTGTAAGGTAGCTTCCTCAAACCTCAGACCAGAACAAACTAATGCTTTATAGCAGAAATGGGAAGTTTACCCTGTACGATTTTATGATTTGCCACACCAAAATACTTAGGTGTTTTAGAGGAAAGGGCTATTCGAGAAGAATAAATTTATGGTTTGATACAGGAATGTGGAACAGTGGCTGCTTGGGGACATCAGGATGACGTAGCCGTAGGATGAATATTAGTACAGACCGTTATTGTTGTTATATTATGTTATAGGATCTTGCAAAACTTTTAATTGTTCTATCTAGTAGATTTTGATGTATCTAATTAACGTTAGGCTATAGGTTATAATATATACTATTATGAAGTACGTATTCGTATTAAAGCAACTATGTGACTAAAACAGAACGATGCCTGAACTAGGTCAAAATAGGTAATTGAAAACGTAACTTAGTATTTGACGATCGGACAGGCTAGACAAGGCGTCTGTAACATTAGGTAGGGCACCACGGCCTAGTCCTACTTTGAGTTTCTACCTAACTTTAGCTTAAGCATATTTTATGACCGGAAAGTAGTCTAAAAGTCGAACACACTGAGACTGTATCAAATAAAATAGGAGATTGATCTGTTATATATGTATGTTATATATCTGTTATATGAGAATATTAACCATTTTTACGTTTTGTGGTATGAAAATTATACTATCCTCTTGAACTTTCATTATAAAAGTAGGGAAATTAACCATATCTAATTAGTAAGATAAGATTTTTTATTTATTTTTCCCTTTTTTTAATAATTATTATTCTGTTATAATACAATGTGTATTAATTGTATGTATATTTACGGATATATTTATGTATGTATGTATGCATGTGTATATGTATGTATACATATATGCATATATATTTCGCTGGATTGGTACACCGCGCGCAGTTCGTTTCCAAATGATTCTTGTCTACCTGATGGTTGTCTGGAAGAGATCGCTCTTAGCGATAAGACCGCCAATTGTACTTTTTGTGTCTAATGTATCGCACTGTTTATTTGTTTTTTGGTGTACAATAAATAATACTCTCTCTCTCTCTCTAAGATATGCGCAGATAAATTGGTCAAGTGTTGTCGTCCAGCCAATTATACGAAACGTAGACAATTGGATATTTCAAATTAGTTTAGTTTTAGACTTATGGTATTCATGTTTTATTTTATTGAATATTATATTATAATAAATTTTGGTTGTAGGCAAACTTTCTTATGATGAAAAAAGTACTAAAGAGGCTGACACTGGATTTGCAACAGTCGAAGAATCCGATGTCGGAAAAAAGACTATCAATAGAAGTAAGTATCCTAATGATATTTCGTTTGACTAGGGCTAATAGAATCGATTGAAAATTGTTGAAGATAAACATCAGGAATTAACATCTTTATTGAAAAATTGTGAAATTCAGGTGAACTATTTTTGTATTTATTCAATTTTTTATCTATCTTGTGGTTACTGGAGCCCATAGACGGACGATGATGTCGAAATATCTATTATAATGTATATATAACAGATTTCTCATCCATTAAATGAGAAAATACAGCGCTGTTTCGCGGCTGAAATACTTGGAATAATAGTATCTTATAGATTCAAAATACATCTAGTAGGTTAGTAGTAATTAGTAATCGATAAGACACACTTCTGTAGGTCAATTATTTTATAGCTCTAGCTGGTACATTTCTAAAACAATAATGTTACTTACTGAAACGTTTTTATTAATACGCTTTTATTAGCTTCAGACGTATGTATGTTAGTATGTAACAGAATCTTTGAACATGATTTTTACCCCCTTCCACACGTCGGATTAACTCGAAATTTGGCAAACTTATTAAGGACCGATGACAATTCAATATTTAAAAAAAATATTGAAAAAATTGAAATTCAACTAAAATATGGAAAATAAATAATAGTTTAAAGAAAAAAAAAAACGCTTTTATAGAAAATCCAACTAAAAAATAGAAAATAAATTTTAATAAATTTGAATTAGAAATAGTGTAAGAAAAAATGATTTTATTGTAAAAAAATGTGGGGTGCTTTTCAGGATATTATCAAAATAACCCTTTTACTCATATCTGTTCATAAAATATAGTATTTATAACTACTGTTACCATGCACCCCACGCTTTTTTTACAATAAAATCATTTTTTCTTACACTATTTTTAATTCAACTTTTTTTATGTTTCGATCAGTCTGGTCCGACACCGATTTGATTGCCCAAGCAACTCTCTTCTTCGTGGCGGGCTTTGAGACTATTTCGTCGGCGATGTCGTTTGCACTCCACGAGTTGGCTTTGAACCCTGAAATTCAGGACCGTCTGGTGCAAGAGATCAAGGAAAACTACGCAAAGACTAGGGGGAAATTCGATTTTAACTGTATTCAAGATTTGACTTACATGGATATGTTTGTGTCGGGTACGTACATAAATGTATTGGCGAGATTCGTCATTATAATAATCCTTGGGCCTTTTTTTTTAATTACTTAGATGGATGGACCAGCTCACAGCCCACCAGGTGTTAAGTGGTTAAGTGGTTACTGGAGCCCATAGACATCCACAACGTAAATGCGCCACCGACCTTGAGATATAAGTTCTAAGGTCTCAGTATAGTTACAACGGCTGCCTCGCCCTTCAAACCGAAACGCATTACTGCTTCACGGCAGAAATAGGCAGGGCGGTGGTACCCACCCGCGCGGACTCACAAGAGGTCCTACCACCAGTAAGCCTTCCCAATGGCTAACAGAGAACGTCTGTGAGATCATGATGACGATAAATAATAAATAAATAATAAATAAATAATAAATAAATAATAAATAAATAATAAATAAATAATAAATAAATAATAAATAAATATTTACTAACAATCACGCCACGTTAACTGGCCCCGTGATAAGTTCGTAAAGAACTTGTGTTACAGGTACCAGATAACGGAAATAAATGTAAGATTTTTATTATACACATACACATATTTAATATACATCCATAACCCTGGAAAAGACATTTATATTTACCATACAAATATCTTCCCTTGGCGGGATTCGAACCCGCGACCCCCTTGTGTAGTGACCATGTCACTTACCACTACACCAGACGGCCGTTTAATTGTAACGATGTATTTTCAATAGTTTTAAGATTGGTTTAGCCGTTTAAATAATCTAATGCTAGTGCTTCGTCATTAAATTCTTGGGAATAATAATGTTCTTTAGAAAAATTGGTAGTAGTTCCTCATTAACACCCCCGATCTTTTGTTTCTAGGAAGTGATATCATTTGGTGATCAGAATATCATTGGCAATCAATTAGATACCCAAAATACAGTCGTAACTTTTTGTTTCTCAGACAGAATATTGAAACGTTTCTCTATACTTTGCGATATTTGACATTCGCATTACTTGTGCACATGTGCATGGGCTCAACGAAATTAGCACATGAAATATTTGAGTGTGACTTGGTTACTTATTTTTACAGAGGTACTTAGATTGTGGACTCCGGTAGTCGGCATGGATCGTCTCTGCGTCAAAGATTACAATCTGGGAAGAGCGAACAAAAACGCCACTAAAGATTTTATCGTGAGTGAAAATGTCTAACTTGAAGTTCAAAATATTACCTTCTTCTTCTTCTTCCAGTGCCTCTTCAATCCTGAAGGTTGGCCGTTAGCTTTCTATATTCGTTTTTATCTGCAGCCAGCCGGAACAGCTGTTCGACGGAGGCAATACCGGTCCACTCCCGGATATTCCGGAGCCATGATTTCTTTCTTCGCCCAGCACGTCTCTTTCCAAATATTACCAGAGGATAATTTATTTATAATTGTTATTTCATAGTTGAGTAAACGAGCTCATGGCCTATCTGTTTTGAGGTGGTTATGCATTCTATACACAACAGAATCTGGCCGCCTATAGCCATTTGAGATAAGAGGTCCAAGTTACAATTGCATTCTGTAGTGAATATCCCACACTTTTTAAGGAAATCAGTGGGATGATGGCACCTTTTTGTGCGAACAAACATTACAAATTTTATGCTTATTTATAATTTTTTCCTGCTTAATTTTAACAAGTAATATTATTTTATTCATCGTGAAAGTCATTAGTGAGCTGTATTGAGTGTGTATTTAATTGGAAAAATTTATGCATGGGCTTATGTGTGAAAAAAATATTTTATTTTACTTAAATGAAATTTCGTGTGAAAGTGTTTTGTAACCTGGATATTAACAAAGGATATTTTTATCATCGTAAATGATATGTCCCGGGCAGCGCCCCCTATTTCTGCCACAATAAAGCGACAGTGTATTTACCCCACAGACTCACCCGGGAATGGCACGTTCTTGTTACAGTTTGAAGCCGTTTCTTTAACGTAACTAATCTATAGTTAGCTTTGAATTTTTTTACGTTTAACAAGTATGTCATTACGGATCCTCGTAATTCATTAACGGTGCTTTTAGGCACCACAAGCACCGGTCACAGTCCTCGTCGAACCCGTCGCTTACGACGAAGGGTTCGACGAGTGGATTAACCCACAGACACAGCCCACTGTGTTTCTCGCCGGATCTTCTCAGTGGGTCACCCATAGTGGGGAGCCCATAGACATCTACAACGTAAATGCGCCACCCACCTTGAGATATAAGTTCTAAGGTCTCAGTATATTTACAACGGCTGCCCCATCCTTCAAACCGAAACGCATTACTGCTTCACGGCAGAAATAGGCAGGGCGATGGTACCTACCCGTGCGGACTCACAAGAGGTCCTACCACCAGGAAAAGCTTCTGCGAAGCACTACTTTTGCTAGGGTCAGTGTTAGCAACACTCCGGCTTAAGCCCCGTGAGCTCACCTACACACGTTAGGGTGAAGCTGAAATAGCCTCTCAAGGCTATCAGCATAGGTAGGGAAAAAAAATACGTTGAACACAAAGTGAACTGGATTTGATAAAGCATAAAGGAAATACTTCATTATTTTCACTTTCAGCTCCGCAAAGGCGAAGGATTGTCTATCCCGACCTGGTCAATCCATCACAATCCTGAATACTACCCCGAACCCTATAAATTTGACCCTGAGCGCTTCTCCGAGGAAAACAAACGGAACATCAAACCGTTCACTTATCTACCATTCGGGACGGGTCCGAGGAATTGTATCGGTGAGGATATTGAATTGTTAGGACCAATCAATCAGCATCTCGGAGCGGAAACGTCTTGCCTGGGAAATTATTCAATTAATGTCAACGCATAAACTGTGAACTTCTTTTTTTATTCCCTAGATGGATGGACGAGCTCACAGCACACTCGATGTTAAGTGGTTACTAGAGCCTATAGACATCTATGACGTAAATGCGCCACCCACCTTGAGAAATCAGTTCTAAAGTCTCAGTATAGTTACAACGGCTGCCCCGCCCTTCAAAACGAAACGCATTACTGCTTCACGGCATAAATAGGCCGAGTGGTGGTACCTACCCGCGCGGACTCACAAGAGGTCCTACCACTAGTAATTACGCAAATTATAATTTTACGGGTTCGATTTTCATTACACGATGTTATTCCTTCACCGTGGAAGTCAATCGTGAACATTTGTTGAGTACGTATTTCATTACAAAAATTGGTACTCGTCTGAGATTCGAACACCGGTGCATCGTTCAACACGAATGCGCCGGATGTCTTATCCGTTTGGCCACGACGACTTCTATATCCATGCCATCTCTGTAACGCTTTTATAGTCGATGTGACATCCCTAGATTTATCGAGTACATTCTGGGCAAGTCGAGTAGCTTCGATGTGTAATTCTGCTATCTGACAATCGATGGCGTTATACTTCTCGATTTTACTAATATCATCAATATTCGTTTCGGTTATTCGGCGATAGATGGCGTTACTCTTACCGGCGTAACAATAACAATATAAACGTGATTACGACTCTTAAAAACCGAAGAATATTTAATTGGTTGTGTGATGAACCTTATGTACTACTTACAGTTCTACGGCCAGTCTCAGCTTTACTAGGAAGCCTGTGAAGGCTGGGGCTTGATATTGTGATATGTACGGTCTAGCTGTTTTATATGAACGAGCAGTTTGTCTGTTCTTTTTTAAATTGTTGAAGTGAAACTTCTTTAGAATCGTTGGGTGTGATTTCAAACTCGATGAAACGAAAAAATGAAACATGAAGTTAAAATATCAATTCACAGAGCGCACTACCTCATAAAACATGATTTACAATTATTTCTATTTAGTTTTTATCAACAGATGTCGCTGCACGTAAATTCAACAATTCCTGAATCGTGATGACGAGGCGTTACACAATTGATAGACGTTCTCGTATTTCTTTTGCTAAATCATACTTACCTGGCGTACAGATATCGTGATCATGCAGGCGGTTCCCCCAGGGTGAGGCTGCTCCATTGCACTGCGGAGTGGTTGACCCTTGCGATTGTTCTTATTTTTTATAAGTGAAAACTTCTACCATGTGTGACTTGCACACACACGCACATTTTTTCCACATAATTTTAGTATAAGCTTCTCCTCGCAGGTTCAAGGTTTGCTCTTTGCGAGGTGAAAGTCATGTTATACCAGCTCCTGCAGCAGATCGAAGTTCTTCCGAGCGACAAGACTAAGGTTCGAGCGAAATTGGCGAAGGATACCTTCAACGTCAAGATCGAAGGAGGCCACTGGATCAGACTCAAGCTTAGGGATTAGATTTTCAAATAAATTGTTTTTACTGTTGTTTATTCAGATTTTTTATTCTCATATCCTATTTTATATATTTATCTATAGAAATTATTACAATGCTCTCACAAAAAGATCTCAGCAATACCAGGGATACAACCAAGCCTACTCTAATGTAAAGTAACAATTACCTAATTTTTCGGTCGAACTATAGGTATTATAATTATGCCTCGTACCATCCGGTTATGGAATGAGCTCCCCTCCACGGTGTTTCCCGAGCGCTATGACATGTCCTTCTTCAAACGAGGCTTGTGGAGAGTATTAAGCGGTAGGCAGCGGCTTGGCTCTGCCCCTGGCATTGCTGAAGTCCATGGGCGACGGTAACCATTCATCATCAGGTGGGCCGTATGCTCGTCTGCCTACAAGAGCAAAAAAAAAAATTATTTCCGATGTTAATAATCAATTTGTTGAATTTCTCCTATTATCAAGAATTCAATTTTGTACTCTTGGTTTTAACCTACAGCCTTAGCTCCAAATATCGATTCGAACAAAATGGCCATGCGAATGTTTTATTTGATTCTTCAAATCGTCTTTTTACGAATAAATTGGCATTATTTTTGATGTATTTACGCAAAGCTAGTGGACACTGAACATTATTATTGCCCACATTTCAAATTGATATTATTCGATTCCACAATATTGTTATCTCGGTAAGGCAAAATCGATATTGTATCGAATCGCCGTCAGTAATTCAATCAGGTGGCTCTCTGAGACTACATCGACCGCCAAATTGCCTGACACTGAGACTCAATTGTCTTGTACTAAATGTGATTTTACCAAAAGATTTTACTCAATTACAATATTAATTATTGCTGAGTCCACAATAATTATCGAATAAAATATTTGTGACTCATGTGCGTAGATAAACTCATCCCTCCAGATTTTAAGGATGCTTAGGACATTAAGGATAAAGTAGAAGGAAGGATGGATGAGTTAATAATAAATGTAAATAGACCTGGTTTAACAAAAACCGACTTCAAATAAAATAAAAAAAATCCAAAACAAATGTATATACACTAAAAACAATAATCATCGAAATCGGTTGGTGTGACATTGAGTTATTGAGTTATTCATCTATTTGTCGCGCACGTGCTTAATGCAAATTTAATATGTGGTTTTCTCAAGGATGCCATTATCAGAACTGGACTAAATGGGACCACACGGGAAGCGTCAGCTGTCTAATAAAAAAAGAATCATCAAAATCGATTTACCCAGTCAAAAGTTATGAGGGAACAAACATAAAATAAAACACAGTCGAACTGAGAACCTCCTCCTTTTTTGAAGTCTGTTAAAAAAGGCAATGCGAATTCTGGAACTTCAGATCTGTAGTATACTCGATAACAAACTGCCACAGCAGGGCAGATACCCGGAGTAATGTAAATGTACCGGATTGGCCATATACCGTATGTAGTTGTGCTCAATTTATGTTTTATCTCCTATTTCTGTTTCATTACCGCTTCGATGGCAACAAGGACGGGATAGGAATCCTGACGTGCAAAGCACTTTCCTGTGCGAGCTCACAGCCGCTCCATTCTTTCAACGTGGAACTCTTTCATAAATTCGCTTCGCGTATTTATTGGTAGGTGTTTGTGGTTCGCTAAAATTCGATTATGTAATATTGGTCTCGTGGTGTGCAACCTCTTTGACAGGATATATGAGCTACATTGACTAAAAGACAAAGACGGAGACATTGCCCCTTTTTATTAGATTTAACTAGACGACAGACAAAAAAAAGGGAAAATTATTAATTAAATTATTTTTAAATATAAGTATTACAACTCTAATACAATAACCAATGACAAACGACAGAATGGACTGTTCAAATGTGTTATGCGTAATTCTAAAGAACATTCATTAATTAACAGTTCTTCGATCCCCATTTATATTATCTACATTATTGATTAATATATCTATTAATATTATAAAGATGAAGAGGGAGTTATAATATTATAAAGCTGAAGAGTTTGTTTGTTTGAACGCGCTAATCTCAGGAACTACTTGTCGGATTTGAAAAATTCTTTCAGTGTTAGATAGCCAATTTATCGAGGAAAGCTATAGGCTATAACATCACGCTAAGACCAATGCAAGTGGAGCACCAATAAAGAATGTTTTAAAATCGGGATTGTAATCCCTTTTGAGAGCTTCCATTGCGTGCGCTGCGGAAACGGTTAAAGTTTCGCTAAAGTAATGTATGAGAGTCTTCTCTGTATCTGTCTAATGAATGAGAGTATATTTTGAAGTCGGTTAAAAAGCGTGATTTTGGTAACTTAAATAACTCTTTAACATTCTATTATTCAAAAATATTTTCACTTTCTACGTAAATGAAGTCGCGGGTAAAATTTTCGTTATGCCAAAGTAACTATTCCACGTGGACGAAGTCGCGGGCAAAAGCTAGTTGTTTTATAAGTATAAGTATTATATGATCTACATTATTAATTATATGTGTAATCAAGTATTTTATTCGATTGTGTTGGGCGTAATTCTAAAGAACATTCAATAACAAACAGTTCTTGAATCCCCATTTATATTCCGTCAACAAATTATCCAATATCGTTGTACAACCGCTTAATGACAATATTTGGTCAGTAGCATCGTATTATTGCGACATATGTACATCGACGTGGTTAGCCATTACTTGTTTGACTTCGTGACACAGCAGTTACCGTCTGTAATTACTTGGCCGAGGTCTATAAGTTTGATTCTCATCATATACCGGGCACCATTTCGGGGAATCTTTCGTATGCCAAACATTTCTGCCGTGAAACAGTAATGCGTTTCGGTTTGAAGAGTGGGGCAGCCGTGGTAACTATACTGAGACCTTAGAACTTATATCTCAAGATAGGTGGTGGCACATACGTTGTAGATGTCTATGGCCTCCGGTAACCGCTTAACACCAGGTGGGCCGTGGGCTCGTGCACAAACTTAAGCAATAAAAAAAAAGATATACATATGTGTCACAACTTACAGGAAAAATCTGTCGTGGATCATTTCCCAATTAAATATGATTTAATCTTAATCAATCAATCAAATGTAGTCAAATCTCAGTTATATAATTTTTTTTGTTTGTTTGTTAATGCAGTGTCGATTGCATCTTTAATTGAGGTGACATCTGCCATGAACTTTTGTCAATTTGTCAGTGTTTTGTATTGACGATCACTTTGTTGGTGCAACTTAATAAATAAATAATATAATATATCTAAAAATGTTAAAAATATCATGAATTTTGAACCTTATCTATTCTGATCAATACAAATTACCGAAAAACATAAATTCTCGCAAGAATAATTTCCAATCAAAATACCGGGCTTACTTTGAATACAAATACGCGAATCTCTGAATTTAAGTATTCCCGATCGAGCAAACCGCACTTTTAGATTCATTAATCCGAATTTTTAACGGGTATTCGGTGAATACTTAGTGTTGTCGAGATTTTGGGGTCCCAGTTACAGCGAGCCTTTACTGGATATAATTTATGAACCGTATAAACATAAGTTCATACGGAGTTCGATCCTATTTTTATAAATCTAGATGGAACACCGCACCTTATGTTTGGATAGCACAGCCGTTGATGCTGTTAATCTTCAGAAATCAGTTCAAAGTTTGAATCTTATACCTTTAAACGAGCAATTCTTGTATATATATAATCTGAATCTCGGTAACGGCTGCAACGATTTTCATAAAATTTAGTATACAGGGGATTTCGGGGGCGATAAATCGATCTAGCTACGATTTATTTTCAGAAAATGTTGTTTTATTCGTGTTTTCAATAATCAACTCTTCCCGACATCTATTGGCGAATAATAATACTATTTTTCTTAATTGAGGGCAACTAACCACTTTAAAGACACAACAAGATGGCGTTATCAAAAAAAAAAACCGTCATCATCTACACTAGTTGCATTTTAATTTGTAATGATTTCCCCGCCATTATCACTACGAACTCACCACTTCTCTCTGTGATTCACTGCAGTGACATATACAATTTATTATTTAAAGTCGCTGCTAGAGCTACCACACCCGTTTCGAGGATTAAAACGCGGATGAGCCCTCTTTAGGGCGGAACAATCAACATCGTCCGCCGTAATACATCACCCAAGAGGAGGGATTTAAAGCGAAATACGTTCCACGACAAACGCCCTATTAATATTTAAGGATATTCAGCTATTTGTTGGCAAATGAGAGCTTATTCTGTCGCCTCCCGAAATTTACAGTAAAATGCTAATTTTACTTATTGGGACTGAGTTTTGGTGTTTGCGTTTGCATGCTACTCTCTCTGATGTTTGATGGCAATTGTAAATGAGGGTTGGGAAGTTGATTTTAGACCTGAGGCTCTTAGACTTTAATACTTTCTGTGAATATTAACTAGAAGATACCGAAAGTCGATAGCCTCGGTCTCCTGTTGCTACTATTTTGTTTTCCTAATATTCATAGTTATTCTAACACATCATTATGGATTCTCGAACCCGTCGCTAGCGACGAAGGCCTCGACGAGTAAATTAACTCATAAACACAGCCAACTGAGTTTCTTGCCGGATTTTCTCAGTAGGTCGCGTTTCCGATCCGGTGGTAGATTCTGCGAAGCTCTCCTCTTGCTAGGGCCAGTGTTAGCAACTCTTCCGGTTTGAGCACCGTGAGCTCATCTATATGTTAAGGAAAAGCTAAAATAGCCTCTCAAGGCTATCAGTATAGGTAGGGAAAAAAACTTATTCTTTTCTAACTTATTTTATTACATAAATCTTTACTTAATTAAACAATTTATTTGTATTCTTCATTCGATCATGTGAATCCCACCTAATAACGAACGAGAGGAAGTAGAAACGTCCATGATCAGCATTACAACCAGACGCGTGGCCATCTCAAGGACGTCTGATCGATGAAGTACAAAATTAAATACTCTCTCTCTACAGCTCTAGGCCGGTTTTCCCGAACTGGATCATCGTAGACCGCACTAACAAATTTTGTACCCCGACATTTGGGTTGACTTGGCTAAAGTAGCAAGCTG